CAAATGACCCTTATCAATGAAAGATTTTGAACATACAGCACATTGAAATGGCCTCTCTCCAGAATGAATCATTGAATGTCGGGTCAAATGATTCTTGCAGGTGAAAGATTTGGAGCAATTTTCACAATTGAATAATCCTTCTCCAGAATGACTTCTCGAATGAACTGATAAATAGTCCTTGCGAGAAAAAGATTTTGAGCAGACATCGCATCGGAATAATTTTCCTGCAGAATGTGTAGTGAAATGACGCGTCAAATGATGCTTGCGAATGAATGATTTTGAGCACACAGCGCAATGAAACCTTTTCACTTGGTTTTTCTTGAGAACTATCAAATGATTCATTTCCTGCTTCACAAATGGTCGTGAATCCTCTCCACGCATACTACTGTGCCAATCTTTCCTCTCACAGTCACTCATATCGTAACCAAAAAAGCCTGTTGGACCAGATAATCGTTCATCAAATATGTCTCTACAGTTGTATTCTTGTTCTTTCGTTTCAAAAATGTCTTTTCCGAGTTCTTCATAAACAATATCAATGTCAAATTCACTTTTAACTTCCACTCTGTTTTCGGTGTCATATTTGTAAACATGAATGCCATCCTCAATTTTAACTTTCACTGTGTCTTCGTTTGATGGTGAATTCGCTTCATCGTCGTCCCATTTTCCCTCCAGACGCTTTTCACAAATTTTAAAATCCATGGGGTCCATTTCTCCACTATAATTTTTGTCGGCAATTATTTTTAAAATTTCACTCACTTATGTGTTCAGTATGGAGTACACTAACGTTATGAGCATAGAAGGGCAGTTCTCTTCCTTTTATACAGGAACATCTAATCATTGAGACCTCGTTTAAATGAATTTGATTGGATTGATTACCTACTTCACGATAAATAATATGCACCTGTGTGGAAAATGTAATTAGATGCTTCATAACACCTCATTCAGGTAAAATTTGCAAAATCTTTGGAATTGGCAGGCAATTGGTTATGCTACCTGAATAAATATAATCCACGCCAACACCTATTTTTTCATTATATATAATATTGCTAACTAGGTACTCTGGATGTGCAGGAAATGAATAAAATATGCCAACAGCCGACCCCATCACTATCATCAGTTTACAAATACTCCCAATCTCTCACGTTGGTGCCAAGGCTCAATTCCTCCATTAAATTTTCAGCCGCTGGTGGTTACTGGAGCCACGTGACAGGTGCGCTTGGCTGAGTGGTTCGACTCACTGCCTGCCTGAAGTGACTCCGGACCTACTATGTTCGTTTCATGGATATTCAACGAAATTCTATAGTTCAGCAAAAGTGAATATGAAAAGTTGATCAATAAACCTTGCAATTAGAATTTTTATGTGCATATAATTACAAACATCCCGACTGTATTTCAAATTATCCGCAATGAATTACCAGAGATGGGGTTTGTGAAACAGATTACATAATATGTATTACAGAATGAAATATAACAACGCATTTATAAAACAAAATCTCCCAGCCAAATAGGTCTGTCATGGAATGCATTCACGTTCAGATTGTAAAGCCAACTATGTATAAAAATATTCAGTTTATATATGCTTTTAAAAATTGAACACTTTTCATATTGCGCGTTTTTTTAATGTCAAGAGGCAGTTGTTTTCCAGAAATGGAAAGGAATAAACGATCCGAATTGAAGAAGCTTGTTAGTATTCATATGCGTAAAATTAAAACAAAACTCTGGATCCAAAAAGAATGACTGTGTATATAATAGTCATCATTTGAAGATTAATTCTGATGAAGGATTATTTCGCTGTGATGTCTGCTCCAAGTCTTTCACTTGCAAGAATCATTTGACTCGTCATTTAATGATTCATTATGGAGAGAGACCATTTTAAATAGATGTGGTTCAAAATTCTTCACTATAAAGTATTAATTGACCCGTCTTAAAGGGACTCATGTTTCATTTAGTGTCGAAAACTAAATCGGGTTCACCAGTTGTTCAGGCAGCTGCCTTAAAGAGAAATGCTCCAACTTATGCTTTCTCATGAGCGCGAACCATGAAGAGAAGCAGATCTTCTGAACTCCTGACGACTTCCCAGGCTCCATTCAGTACCATTAATGTAGACACTCCAAACTCAAAAGTCCACGGCCTCCTTTTGTTGGGGGAAGTACCGCCATGAAACAGATGATTTGGGATGCAAATTCCTATGAAGGTGTATTATTTTTCGGGTATTTACGTCGAGTTGATACATTGGAATAGCAAAATTTGTCGGGCATGCATGTAGCCCTCCACCACCCTCCAGGACTGATGGAGATCCTGTTCTCCAGAGAAATGAGTTCATGCGATGAACGATGAAATGCCTTGCGGTAATCGATCTAGGCCATAGAGAGGTTACTTTTATACTGTATAATTTTTTTCACCACGTTACATAATGAAATGTTTGTAGCAAGTCAAAAAATAGCATGAAAGTAATTTGTTAAACAATCGAAATATTATAAAAACAAACGAGAAACACAAATACAAAAATATAAAAACAAAAATTGAGAATTTATGTTGACATTATAAACATTTAAAATGATTCACGTATTATTCGACAGAGTAGAAGCAAAAACTCAAAAAATAATTTTTTATTGTTTTTTTTTTAATTTGGGCATACTAAGAATTTTGAAACTATCGGGAAGATAGTTGTAAAGGTTGAAATTCAGTGTGTTTTTTTGAGATTTAGTCAAACGATAGCGGTTTGTCCGAAATTTCTTACAATGTCTGGTATCATAGTCATGAAGGTCTGATTGCTTGATTAATGAAGTTGATTTTTTATGAATTTCTATGAGAACGTTGTACAAACATAATGTGGGTAACGGCATTATTCTCAATTTCAAAAACAGAGGTAGACAATGATCCCTATAACCAGAGTTAGTAATTATTCTGAGAGCTTTTCTTTGCAATTTAAAAAATTTTACAGCCCCAGTTGAGTTGCCCAAGAGTATAACACCATAGCTAATGTGAGAATGGAAAAGGGAGAAATATGTTACTTTCAGTGTATCGAAACTAGTTATATTTCTCAACTGACGCAATAAAAAAAGAGTTCTAGATAATTTTTTACTCAATTGGTTAATATGACAGGTCCAAGTGAGAGTACTATAAACAACTAACCCAAGTAATTTAACACTGTCTGCACTTGATGTAGCTTGTTGAAAACTGTAACTGTTGCGTTTTATCTGTATGCAATTTGAGTCGATTTGACACGAACCAACTTTCTGCCTTCTCATCGACTTCCTTTGATATTCTAGATAGTTCAATAGAATTTTTGTCAGAGTAAATGAATGTAGTGTCATCGGCAAACAAAACAGATTCATATGGATGCATGAAATTACTAATGTCATTTACGTAAATTATGAACAGAAGTGGTCCCAAAACTGATTCTTGGGAAACACCATGTTGAACGAGTTTTAAATTCGAAATGCAATTATTGCTACTGACTGCTTGATATCTATTCGATAGATATGATTTTATGAGGGATAGAGATACTCCCCTGACGCCATGGTAATATAGTTTTTCCAATAATATGTCATGAGAGACACAGTCGAACGCCTTAGAGAGGTCGCAGCGCGCAATAGCTGTGTCGTTTCCTTGCTCGAGATTGTCAACTACTTCACTCACCATATTGAGAACTGCCTCTGCTGTAGAGCGGTACTTACGAAAACCAAACTGAGATTCGTTGAATAATTTATATTTTCCAAAATATGCGTAAAGACGTTGTTCAATAATCTTCTCAATTATTTTGGTAAAAATGGATATTATTGAAATGGGACGATAATTGTTAACAAGAGAAATGTCTCCGTTTTTAAACAGAGGGATAACTTTTGATAGTTTAAATGCATCAGGAAAAAACCACTTGTGAATATTACATTTATCAATTCAGAAAGAGGCTGCAACAATATCTGGGAGGTCTCTTTAATGATATCACTATTTAGTTCAAAAGCGTCTAAGCATTAGGAATTTTTGAGTGAGCTAATTGCACTTTGAAAGTCTTCTTCGGTCATTGGTCCCAGAAAAAAAGAGCTGCAAGGGGCTGGAAAATTTCTGAAATTCAGTAAACCCTCTTTGCATACCATTGGTAGAGCTTGAATGATATTGTCAGGAATATTAACAAAAAAGTCATTGAAATGGTCAGGAGATATATCAGTATGAGTTATATTATTGTTGTTTCTGTTTCTCTCAAAATTTATTATTTGCCAACATGCTTTTGCCTTATTTCCCGACGAATGAATATAATTGTCATAAGCTAATTTCTTAGAATGTTTAAGCTGGGCAATATACATTTTCTTCAAAGTTCTATATGTTATATAATCCGTTGGTTCTTCAGTTATATCGGCTACAAGTTTCGAATTTGACAAATACTTCCTCATTCTTTTTAGGGATTCATCATACCACATAGCTGGTGCACATCCGTTCTTTGAGTTATATGTTTTTATTGGAAATATTTTTTGACCAAATCACTATAAGTATTTACAAGGTGGAAAGATAGAATTTCAGCATCATAATTGTTTTGTTGAAACCCCACTCTACATTTACTAGAGCTTCTTTTAGCGTCATTAATCCCTTTTGGGTTACTTTTCGAGAAATCGTTTTTTTATTTGAGCTCATTGGTGTTTCCTCAATAATAATATACTGAGCGCGATGATCGTACAAGCAAGGCTCAAAAACTCCACTATTTATATTGCTTTCTTTCAAATTGGTAAATATATTATCTATACAGCTAGATGAAGTAGCAGTAATTCTTGTATGTTCTTGAATAATATAAACCAAACCAAATGATGGAATTAGGTCTTGTAAATCTTTTAAAGCAGTTACGTTTACTTCAAAATCTACGTTGAAATCGCCAGTAATCATCACTTTACTATTGGGATTAACAATATGATTTAAGAGGTTCTCTAAATTTTGTAAAAACGTATCAAAATTTCCTCTTCCAGACCTGTATACAGCTATAACAATAAATTTTGTATTCAATAATTCTATGCAAAAAATTCAGAATTTAATTCACTATTGAATTGTTGACATTCTAAAGGCTTCATTTAGATTGATTTTTTAACGAAAATAGCACATCCTCCATTGCGTAATAGTTTTCTGCAAAAGGAATTAGCGAGAAAATATCCCTCAAGGTTCATACTTTTGAGATTTTGCTTACTCTGCCAATGTTCTGAAATACATACAATATCAAAGTGACAATCAAACAAAAGCGTTTGAAGTGTCTCAGTTTTGTTAGACATAAATTAAATATTTATATGAAAACACTCACCGAGCTATCGCGATTCACAAGATTGAATATATCATTAAAGTTTTGTTCATACTCTATATCATATTTTGAATCAACTAAGAAGTTTCTGTTGAGACACTGATTTTCTGAAAATGTTCTTTGAATCTGAATCGTCTAATTGCCGCACCTCTTGGCCATATGTCTGGATGGTAAACGTCATTTAATTTATCGAGAGGAAATGACACTTTGTATGTTGATGCACAATCGGTTCTATTCCATTCTTCGCATACGAAGGCAATGCCAGGTGCAGTTTCCTTAAGTGCTGCAAGAAGATCGTTTGCAGTCATGTCAGCTGCAACCCATGAGACATATAGATATCCTATTCTCGGAACTGTTTTGAATTCAGTTCTGTCATTACTACCAAATATTGATCTATATTTGTGTTTATGGTTTTTACTTGGGGGATTCCGTTTGGAGTCCCCACTTGCGTTTTTGTTTTCTGTGTACTTGCCATGTTTTTGCGCTGTGTCTACTTTATTACTTCTCAAGGCTGCACTGCAAGTTTTTTGTGGTCTCACTACGGACTTTTTCACAAGACTGGATTCTGGTTTGGAAGAATTTGTGGAGTTCAAGTCGTTGTCAATAGATGCCGTTATCGGTACCATTTTATAATTGTATCTGGTCTATATACAAAGATTTTATCGTTATTATTAAACTGTTTCAAATGTAAAATGAGATTCTCTTTCTCTTGAGTTCTTTTTTTCCAAATGGAATGTCAGTTTACTTACACAATCCAGCTCCTTTTTTAAAGTACTATGATCTTTGACAAGTTATTCATATTGGATGCAGATTTCATTATCACTGGTGTTATGGAGGTTATCAACATCACTGACTTGTTTCACATCACTACCCGCAAATTTACTGACGTACTTAATTAGTTGCACATTATTCAACGTCGTTGGCAATTTGAAAGTCAAAATTATGTCTATGAGTTCATTTTTATTTAGTTTATTCAACTCCGCTGATAGAAGAGCAAATTCACTTACTGTCGCCATGTTAGCCATCACACACAAAAAAATCCTGTTGGCTGCCCTGTAATCCATCACACATGGGATACGAGACGCGTATTGTCTCGCTATAAATGGAGATTAACTCAAAAGTCAATAAATGTATCATATCGATAAATCAATATATCTATTGCTTGCAAAATAGTTCAGTTATTTTCAAAGAAATGAGTCAATTGTTAGTAAAGAACCACGCACAAACCTTATTGAAAATGGCTTTGATGAACTTTTCAATGTCCTGATCAAAAGTCTCCACGAGCACAACGAAAAATAATGGACAGTTTTTGACAAAAAAATGCTCAAAGTCGTCAAAATGGGAAATTTGGTAGTAAAACGGGAGAAATAGGCCGTTTCATTTTGCATTGAGGGGTATTGTAGATGATATTATAAGGAAGAAAAAGTTTAGGTTAAGAATGAACGAAATCTGGTTTTTTAGAAAAGACGAAAACCAAGACAAATATATCTCAGTTCCATATCACCAATATATGAAGAACTTTGGAAAGATTTTCAAGGAATTAGGTATGAAGATGGTACTTAAAACAAGTCATTCACTACAGAGCCTTATAGGAAATCCAAAGGAGAAAGTCGAGAATTCGGAAAAGTCTGGAATTTACGAAATTAAATATGTAAGGACTGCGATGCAAAATATTATGGACTGACTAAAAGATCTATTAAAATAAGACACAAGGAACAATCAACACACCTGAAATATGGAAGAAAAGAAAAATCACTAGTCGCCCATCATATTTTGCAACAAACCATTCCATAGACCAGTTCATTAGGATTAGTTGGACAAGTTAACAACAACAGGCAACTAGAAGCCTATGAGAGTGTAGAAATAAGTAAACATAATAATATTATGAATAACGATAGTGGATAGTGGAATACTATTTCATTATCAGATTAACCTGATTGCTAGATAAGTCAAAATATGAAAAAAAAAGATTTCGTAGATACTGTTTAATGTGTATTTACAATGTAATCTGAAATATGATTACAGCTTTAATATTACATCATAATACCCACTGTAAGTTTACAAATATCAGCGATATGAACAAAACTATTTCACAGAACTTGCATCATTACAACCAAGACGTCACATAAAGTTATTATCTACAGAATAGGCCTTAAAACAAATATATCCACATACGATCATTTTCAGTAATAATAATTGAACTAAGCTAAAGATATGTACAAATATTTTCGACAAATTATACGAAGATATTTCGTTGATTCATTCATTGGCACATAAACTTTGACTAGGATTCAAATGTAAAGCCTTGCAATAGATTTTAAATTCGTTACAATTATTGTATTGGTCGAAAAACTTTTACAACTACATCTAATATTTTACAGTTATTTGAACAAATATTTACAGGCCAATTAATATATGATTGATATGGAAATGGTTGCATTGCACGTTGAGATTGATCAAGGTACGACGAAAGAGGATATAGAGGAGGAGGGCCATTTCATATATTTCATATTGCTTTTCAACTCAGTGTCCACGAAGAAGCTTCAGAAAATGGCCAAAATACTAACAAATCTATCCCATCTACTGTCCTCACGAAGACAAGAAAGTTATCATATCTCAGATATATATTTCCGACCTTGGTACAATAAAACAATAAAACAAGAGTGTTACTCCTTTGAAAATTAGGTTCGGAAAGATTCTTGTTTTGGTAAGTAACGTAAGTGGAGGAAATTGATTAAAATTTGTGTGTATGTGAACTTGTGTGAGCCAAAGATTAACGGGGTCTTACTTTCAACTATGTGATGACAACTCGAAATACTCAGCAAGATATTTCTTTGTTGAAAGGGGATGTCGTGTGAGTCAATATTGATGGATATTCTTGGTTTTGATAGCTGGTCATTAAAATGAATACAACTACTTGCAGGTCATGCGATTTTCATACTTTACAGAAGGTCAAGTGTCAAACGTTATTTATGGAAATGAAGAGTTTCGTATTCATGTATTCTGTAAAGAATCTAGTAGCATACGTTGAATTCATTTTTCCATTTTGGAAACATAGAAACAGTTTCCAAAATTGAAAAATAAATTCAACGTAAACTACTAATATCCTTATATTCCTTACATAGCAAAATGAGTTCAATCATGAATACAAAACTATTCATTTCCAGAAATAACATTTGAAACTTGGTCTCGGAGAGTATGGAAATCAATAAGTAAAAAAAATCCAATTTCTAATGAACGTTCAAATCGAGTTGAACAGCTTCCTGTAATATTCATTGATTTGTTTCCCTATAATTTTACCAGTGAAAAAGGATTTACACCTATATTTACTTGCTTTCACTAGTTCACCAGCCATCGCACCCCTTCGAACGACAACCCTCAGAAGTCGAAACTTGTGCAAGCTGAGGACTAACGAAGTCTTACCTTTTAACGTGTGATTCCTAACACTATATGGTTTCGAGAATATATAACGTTTCAATCTGGAAGCAGATTGCTTATAATAAGTAGATTCGTTCTGTTACTCGCTATTTGGATATTTTTTTGAGTACGGAGTGGAATATGGCGATTTTTTTTTATGTGAGCGTTCCAAAAGTATAAAAAATTTGCAGAATCTTCATGAAACAATATGAAGCATTAAGGAACTAACAATGGACGTATATGAAAAAAATCGTATGACTTCTTGAAAAATTCAACGTTATTCTTGTGCGTTTTGTTCGCACTAATCTTATTCCGTACCGAACCATTCCCGCCAAAATTTATTCGCTGTCTCAGGGTTCGTAATATGAACTCTGTCGCTGACTCTGCTCGACATATTATTTTGGTCGAGCAGAGAGAGTGAATAACTTTTGGCAGAACGGACACGGACAGATTTGGAATAGATCAATGCAAACAAAACGCGTCTAATATCACATAAGAATGAAATTTGCTCATGATAAAGCATACACACTGATAAACAAAGACTTGATGATGAATACCGTTGATAATTATAGATTCTATAGATTCACCAAATTATTTCAATGAAATTGGTACCATTGCATAGACAATAACACAACCTAAAATAATATTTTATGTCAGTATCATCACAATAAACATCATCCCGCTGTAGAATACGCCACACTGTACCGTCATATGGACAGGGACATTTAACAGAATCGCGGGACCTATGTAGATTAAATCAAGTAAGCCACACCGATCTACAAATTTGCATAAAAAATGTAAAGGTATGAGGTACTGCACCAGTGTATATGCATCTTAAGTTATGTTAAAAAACCGTACTGGTTGGCTTTTTCCAAACCTTCTTCTCTTTAGTGTTTTCTTTTTAGTGTTTTACAATCATCGAAACGATTGGACCAAGTTTCTAAGATTAAATTTGACGGTTTCATTTCAATCGTAACTGTGAAAATTCTAATAAAAATAAAAGTGGGTAATGTTCATTCTGTGTAAATAGTGATAGTCATTCTCATCTATATCCTCTTTAATTTTACTACAGAACACCGTATAAATAATAGCGTTCTGTGCTTTACTTCTTCCATTGTATCTCTGTGTGTATCTCTTATATTGAGAGGTTCCAGCAGTGGATGATTCAAAAAAGTTATGAGAAAGGGAGAGTTAGAAAGATAAACACCAGAGACACCAGAGTATTGCACAGTGAGATCAATTGAGTTACTCTGGCACAAATGTTATATTTTTTAAAACTAGATTAAAATATCTCGAATCTCCATAATCAGCCAGTCTCAAGCCGTGTTTTTGTTCATAAATTAGGTGTTTAAAAAAAAATAAAAAAATTACAGTATTAAGTCAGTTCATGAAGATTGTATAGACATAACTTGTTACGAACAGTCCGTTTCTTTTACAAACTAACACTAAATCACTATGAAAAATCATCAAAAACAGTCAATAATGATTCCATCTATTCTGATCAGTACGAAGAAATATTTGATGGAACAGAAGTTCTCTCTCCTCTCGAGTCATATTTTTGCAAACTGCCAGTAGATCAAATGAATACTCCCAGTTGTTCTGATGTAATATTTCATTTCCGCTCCCAACTTCCATTGTATAACCAAGATGATTCATCGCGAGATTTTGTCCAACAAGCCGGTTCCAGACTATTTTCCTGGAAATTAATATGGAATAACTAACAAAAAATAATTAAAAAACGAATATAAAATAGAAATATGTGATCAGAATGAGAAAAAAAATATATTCCAACCCGAAATGAAATTACACTTTTGACACCGTTATTCTGAACGTATTCAGAACTGCAGTCCTCCAAAAGAGCGTCCAGGGAGGATCAGCAGATAGCCGTTATCAGACCGCTTTTATCTAGTGATACTGTAACCATGGACTGAAAAGTCTCGGGCCTAAGAAAAAAAAACCGTTTTTTTTTTCAAAATTGGCTTCAATCATCAAAGTAATGACCAAAGCGAAACCATCACTATCAACACTTCGAAATTACTTTCAATATCTAAAGATCAAGTCTATCACATCGACGACCTGCGTTCAATTCTTCAACGAAAACTTTTTTTATGACGTCATGAAACAAAAATGTGTTGAGCGAAAAGATGGGCTTACGTAACCGCGCCATGTGACTGGTGGTCTGACTCGTGGGATACGCCTGGTCGTGGTTGCCTGTCTGCTTGAATTATTTATATCCACAGAAAGTTGAAATCTCCGCCACGATGTTCTGAGATGCAGAAGCGTGCGTTCTGATTAGCTGGCGAGCTGGGTGACAGTTTGAGGACTCTACAGGACAATTTGGTAAACTCTGATTGACTCACCGTCTAGCTAGCTGGGTGACAGTTTGGGGCAACCTAACTGGTGTAATTACGTCACTGTCTGCCTGAAGTGAGGTAATTCCTACTAACATTCCCATACCACTTTTGTAGAAAATTTTGCCTTAAAATATGCGTCTGTTTCAGCAATGAGCTTTTCATTCGCTTTGCGAACAGCCAGTAGTCGCCAAGATCCAAATATGTCGAATACGCACATCCCAAAATACCTGGGCCATAACCTTTCCAGCAGATTGTTGTATTTTCGGGCGCTTTGGACGAGGTTCACCAGTTGCTCTCCACTCAGATGACGATCGTTTTGATTTCGGAGTGAAGTGATGGATCCATGTCACATATCTACGTAAAAATTCCGGTTTGTTTTGTTTGAATATGGCTGAGCACTGCTCAGAATCATCATGACGTTCTTGTTTTTGATGAGCTCGCACGGCGCACACTTTGAACAGAGCTTTCTCATACTCAAATGCTCATGCAGTATAAAGCGTACACGTTATTTTGATATCTTTACAATGTCAGGTAACTCACGCAACTTCTCTTTTCGATCATTCACGACGATTTAATGGATTTTTTGTATGTTTTTAGGTGTTACTGCTTCATTTGAACGTTCACTGCGTTCTGCATCATTGGTGTCTGTACAACCACGTTTACAGTCAGCAAACAGTCTATAGATTAGATTTAAATTATAATGTAATATATATTTTTCCTTCTACAAATTTATAACTACACGGGCAGGTAAGTGTTATTAAATAAATTGATACTTAATTGAAAATAAATAATTAATGGAAACAAAATTTAAATATAATGTATTTGTTAATAAAAAATGAAAATTATTTATAATTATTTATTAAGTAATAATTTATAAACCTGTTGTCAACCTGAAATCAACATGTTGATTTCAAATAATATATAATCTGCGCTAGCGCTGCGCTCTATCTCAAAAACGATTCAACGTATGAAAAAATGTTTGCATCAAAAGTTGTAGAGAATTCCATTTTCTACAATATTGAAGATAAATACAATCAGCATAAACTCCATTGGAAACGAGATATTGGCAAAAAACGTGCCAAAAGTCGTTTTTTTGACTTTTGACCCCCCATTTTTGAAGTTGCGGCTGTCGAATCATATGTGAATTTTGAGAATACTTTTATGATGCCAAAATACAAAGTTTATACAAATTTACAGCTGGGTTTGTCCACTTTCCTAGGCAAACCCCCTAAAATGACTGGACTATAGATATCATATCATATTTTGCTTCATGGGAGCCGTCCAAGTCTTCTAAAACACTGCAGAGTCATTATTGAACCTTCCCCTCATCTTTTCATATGACTCCCGTTCAATCTTGTTCCTTTGTTGAATGTTTGTCATATTTTTCTGGACATAATTTGGTTTGTCCATAAATTGTTTGCCTCCTGTGAATAAGTGCCTCACATTCTCATAAAACATGACGATCTGTCTTTGTCCTCAGAATGTACAGTATCCAATTATAAGTAGTCCTGTAATCATTCTGAACCGATTTCTGTTGTATTGATGTAGGTAGTTCTTAAATTATTTTCCCAGATAGTCTTTTTTAATCAAGGTCAATCCGGGTTAGCTTCCAGGCGTATCTTCCGAGTTTTCTCAATGTTTGGTTCGTTTAGGGTCCAAAGGTATACCTACTCACTATAAGAATAATTATACTCACCGCGAATTGGGAGTGGTTCATTGATGTAGAATTAATATATTCCATATTTGAGTAGTAGGGGTAATTGTTATAACAGTTGGTTGAAGAATTCGTTGTACTCAAAACTGAAGCTTGTGTTGAGGTACACCATCTATGCTGATCCAATGCAAAACTGTCTATTGACGCAGGTGACCAAATACTTGAGTTTGCAGAGTTGGTGAAGGTTGAGCTTGGGATCTGAAATCATGTAATATTGGAATTAATAATCTGTAATATACTTTTTTGTGGTTACTCATTTGACCCTCAGAGTGAGGGTTGGTTGAAACCCTTTCTATTCGATAATATAGTTTTTAAAATGCAATATGAAAAATATAAATTTATATGATTCCATCTTATTTTGAGCACAATCTTCTTTTAACCATTGGGTTTATAGAATTACTCGTATAGTTAGGTCGGTCACACCACAGTACTTGAATAAAGCAGCAAAACAGTTTTATTCAAGCTTAGGATATTTCTCAGGTCTTCGATTTGTTTTTTACATTATAATGAACCAAAGGTATTCATTGAATTCTCAATGATTTGGGCTACTTTTCAATCGTGGATTCTTGTATTAAATTAGAAAAATCTGAAAAGGGATTCATTTCCTGATTGTTTATTAAAAATTCATAATGTGATATGCACACTGTATACTTTTCTTTCTTGGTGTCAAAAAGAATTTTATAGAATTATAACCTCAGGTGTTGATTCTTATACAATCATATTAACCTAAAAACCCACGATCACAAACAAATATTCATTTTATCTCGCACATATATTCGAATAACAATGGAATTATTTCGTTATTATCAGTATCTTCAAACTGTTACAAAACAAAACAATTTTTTTCTGGTAATTAAGTATCATTTTCAAAAACAAAAACAAGAAATGTAGAAAAACTTTTCTATAATTGAATAGAACTGGCCGATATTTGATGAAAATCCATATTGGAACTAATTTACACAGTTTATTGTATGATTCACTATAAAGGGTTTTACAAAAACCGCGACACGTGTTTCGCGCTTTCTCAAGCGCTTGAGAAAGCTATTGTATAACGAAACACGTATCGCGGTTTTTGTAAAATTCTTTAGAGTGAAAATCATACAATAAACTGTACTAACCAGTTTCCGAAATTATTCTGCCCTTGTTAACCTTTCTTTAAACGGTTATAGATAAAAAACACTTTATTGTGATTTGTACTGAACACGTGTTTCACTATATACGTGCTCGGATTTTGTAAAATCTCACAATGAAGTTATTTGGGTCCGTTATGGATTTCATCAAGTATAGGCCAATTCTATCAGATATAACAGTTGTACTACAAATGTAGATCATTAACCTCTTCATTTCCTAATAAATCCACCCCCGACTAATGTGTACGGGTTCCTCTTATAATTTTTCCAAAATTTAAATATTTGTTTCTCTTTACCGTCATGGTATAAAGTCATGTGTAAAAATAGAATACTGTATTACCGTGGGTGGTGTGGTGCTGCCACCGGTGGCGAGTAGCTGCGACTTCATGTAGTTCGGGCTGTCCCTGAGGTGTGGCGCTGTATGTACTGAAGGAGAACTTGCTGATGAACTGAAATTAAAGTATCAAATGTATATTTGTCAGTGCAGCATGGAAGTGAGTTATCCCTAAATATTCTCCAGTAGAAATGTTATCATTTGGTTTCATATTCAGATGTCAGGAAAGTTCTTTCAAGATATATGAGGTTATATCAGTATATACCGAGCGGTTCAGAAGTTATTCCCAAAATATCAAAAACCTGTTCTATTCAACTGTTCCTATTTCCAATGAAAACTCAATTGTTGAGGAGTCTGCTTCTTTATGAGAATTTTCTCTTTAATAAATGATAATTCGATTAAAAACTTTTCTGATACTTGATTTAACTGTTGATGTAATTTTATAGAAAAGTAGTCAACTTGAACCCGAAATTTTTGATACTATCGACCCCGTATAAACTCAGTTGACCCTATGAAATCTTTTGAAATTATTTTTCCACAAGGGAATTGCAAAGGATTGTTCACTGAAGAATTTCTTAAAAACGATTCCAGTTATAATTTTCGAACTGTTGATTTTCCTGTATAACCCCAAATACCCCCTATATACCCCTTGAATTTTGAGTTTTGGTTCACCCAGTACCAGAAAAAAGACTGTGGTGAGAAGACACTTCCAATTTTTTTCACAGATAAAAAGGGAGGTCTTGTGAGACGTCATTTGACAAGTATTTCAATTCTTTCTCCAATATTTTCCAATTTTTGAAAATCGGATCAGCCGTTCCTGAGTAATTAGCAGCTTTTTATTATGTGAAAGCTATTTTCCGGGTTTTTTGACCATGGTCTGTAAGGTTTTTATGCTCAACGTTGGTAGCGCTCTCTCGGCGACGAATGATGCAAAATCAATGTCTTTTCTATCAAAAAGTACCAAAAATGATACCTTTATACGTAAATTCTGTCCGACCGTGATATCTCGTTCTCTTCAAAATACCAGAGGGGGGACTGTATTATTTTGGGTAAATAATATAATAGGATGTGGCCTTTGTATGTATTCGTATATTCAATGATAGATTATAGATTAATAGAATTTCTTCAGAATTATTTTACCTGGTACTCGTATTATTATTATTGCTGGAGACAGGGGCTGGCGGCGTAGGAGAGGACTTGGCAATGACGCTTGAGGCCGGTTTGTTTTTTAATCTTGTGGTTTTCTCTGTACTCTGTTGTTGGGTGTGTTGTTTTTGTTGCTGCCTGCATTTCGCTCTCCTGTTCTTGAACCAAACCTGAAATGAAAGAATAAAAGAGTGATACTTTTTTGTCCGATTGATTCATAAACTAAATATACAAGGGTAACATGATTGTTATTATTTAATAACCTCCAAAAGAAAATAACTCAAAATTATCGGATAATATTTTTGTATATATATAAAATTAACCAACAAAACGAAATCATAAATAGGTACAAATCAAACACTTATTATAAGAACTGGTTCTTAAATCTTTATTAATTAAATGCGAAACTATAATTTTCGTATTTCTTCAATTTATCAATCAAAATCAGCCGAAACCCAAACAAAATTGGTATGACTGAATAGGTATTTTCAATACCTTTCAAACGAGCTGTCACTTGCCATAGGGTCCCATTTAAAATTTTTGGTCACAATGGCCTTGTGACGTCATTTATGACTATTGCGTCACCTGTTATGACCAGTTAAGAAGCCTACATCCGTTTATTTCCACCCTCCAAATTTCATTATTATAAGTATACCCGTTCCAAAGATACGAGGGGGGGAGGGGACTTTTGACTAGCACTGTACATATATTCTCATGGACACAGTATGATGGGTTGTTTTGTTTTCCGGGTTTAATTTTATGTTCTGTTTTTCTCTAGACCTAGATTATTACCAATTTAATTTCAGTCTAAGACCCACCGGTGGACAGCTGTTTCAGTCTGTTGGGCATCATCAGTACCGGGCAGGCGATTGAAGACAAAATGTGAAGAACCAAGAAGAATACTTGGATAAAAATAACTGCGTAAAAGCAAGCGAGACATAAGTGGAACCACCTATTGGTGTTACCGAAGTTAGCTTTCCAAGTTTTTTATTCTGGAGTGGTTTGACCACCAACTAACTAACGCAGTTGTCGGTTGATTGGTTGGTCCTGGAATACCACCGGAAAACGAATCCACATGTTTCTAGAAATGATATAAAATCAAGAAATGGCAATGCAGTCGAGCTGCTGGAAAATAATTTCATGAAAATCAAAAGAAAAAGATGAGTACTATTCTGATCATTCCGAATTTGATTTCAATTTAAGAGCCACGGACAAAATATAATGAGCTGTTTTTCCGGGTTTCGCTCCGTGTTCTGTGTTTTTGATCCTCACAAAAATTATTTTACGATGGAATTCGGTGTGTAGGGTTAAAATCGATTTCCAAGCAACTTTTTGGAAAAACTTATTTCGGTGAAGCAAAATATCGAGAACTTGCTTTTTTCGCAGGAACGTAGTATAGGCTGGGTTCAAGGCTGTCACTCGGAACAATCAAATCTATCTTTCAAAAATGATTAATATACAGGGGTGTCTTCATTTTGAGTGTGTCACACTGTATGTATGTAGGCATACGTATTCATTATAAATGTTGTACCTCGTTCTAAATGTTGATAAATTTCACCTTCTTCTCAAATCACTCCGTCCATTGGTGAAAACCAAATGAAAATCGGTTCAGTAGTTTTTGAGTTCATCACGTTCAAACAGACAGACACGGTGGGAATTTTAATTGTAGTGATTGGTGGTTGAATACCAAGGCGACAATCCATTTTTACCAACTGCGGCACTGAACAAACACCTCTTCAGAGTCAATACCGAAAGGAAACAGGCAATTTGCCGCCCCCAGAGAGAATAAGGGTGTTGTTAGAGTAACCAGAGATCGACAATGGCTGTGGGCGAAACAAATGCGAAACGTGCTTCAGCATGACTCTGGGAGGCTAATAAGGTAACGACTGGGTATTCAACTATTCACTTAGGAAATGGATCGCTTTCTAATGTCTCCTTGGCCCTCGCTGATTTATTATTATGACTTACATTGTGAACTTTGTTCTGGCAGCCATTGTAACGTTGCTTTAATGTTTTATTGTTGGCACACGTTTAGGTATTGTTCGTGTGATGATTTTGACACCCTGTCTTCTTATCAGAGAAATAGTTTCTTTTTCTGTGAATTTGGTTCCACATTTGTTTGCTGTTGTATGCTGAACTCGAAAATGATTCTTTATCGACAACTAATATACGAATTCTATGAAAATGAAATTCAAAATCATAGGTAATAGATCATTTTTCGACATCTGCATTGCATAAAAACGTACTGTTTCATATGCTTTTTTTAATTTCTCTTTTATCTGGCACAATAAAAATAAATGAAATAAAAACGGTAAAAAGTTTTTATTGAAAATTGATACATGGTTATTTCTATTCAGTTTTTTATTATTTAGAAATGTATAAAGTTTGGAAACATTGGAATTTGAAATTCAAAACAGTCATCAAAAAGTTCCTCCTCGAGAAATGTTTCTACGATATGATGGAATATTTGAATCAAGCAAGTTTATCAAAACACATAGTTACAACACCAGGAGAAGAAACGAGCTCCGCCTACCAAAGTCACGTCTAAACCTCTGTCACAATCTACCTGATATAATGGGATTGAGACTATATAACGTCCTCCCCAATGAATTGAAGTTAATAAATCAGGCACACATTTTTAGGAAAAAAACTAAAGACTTCTTACTTCATATTACACCGTACGATCTGAATGAGTATTTTGAATATTGTCGCAATTGCTAGTGCTAACTTTTGTCATGTCTTTAAATATACTGTGCGGTCCGCTAGCATTTACATATTTTATTCACTTGTATACATATATTTATTTTATGCTAGTATTTAGTTTTCTTATGTCTTCAAATGTACTGTGCTGTCCGCTAGCATTTATTTATTTTATTTTATTCACTTATATGTGAATGTGTATGTATGTGTATATATGTGTGTATATATGTGTATATGTATATATGTGTGTGTATGTATATATATATATGGATATATATGTATGTATGTGTGTGTATATGTGTGTATATATGTATGTGTATATGTATATATATATACCTATAATAATATATTTTACTACAATTTTGTATACCTTGACTTGCCCTATAGCTTCTTGTATGCTCATATTAAGGACCAATAAACGTATTATTATTATTATTATTATTAATACTCTTAATGAATTATCTTTCAGAATCAAATAATCATTTGGTCAGCCAATAATTATTTTAAATAATAATTTTGATGTGAAGTATATGTATTCCTTTTATATGTGTTAAACATTTTATTTTTATTGCAATATTTTTTTTATGTACTGTGACCTGCCATAAATGCATTTATATGTAACTTGGTTAAATACAACTCTACTTTGAATTTTATTAGTTTCGACTTGTTTAATATGATATAAAATGATTTGAAATCCTTGAAGGAACCAATAAAATTGAAAAGCAAAATGATTAGCTGAAAATAACAATTATATTGAGCATTAAAGCCCTGAAAATTAAAATGAAAAGCTGAAAATAACACTGTAGGGTTTTTCCTACAACTATTCACTTTAGAGACATTTTATTTTATTACTGATTTTTATTTTTGTATTCTAAATTCTCGTTAACATAACTCTATTATCGAACAGTCGTACAAAATATCCATCTGCCTGGATTTTTCATGTTGATTCTTTTATTCTCATTATTATTTATCATTTTTGAATTTTTTCATCGCATATCATTGAAATGCTCTCTTCTCTCAGAACGAAAGTTTATTGCCAAAAAACATATGGATATTTAGAACGAAACTACTTGGGATGTTTCGAGTAGGTACTCATTGTTAACACTTTTATGGATTTAGACAAAGAATTCGGGAACAAGTGGTTGACCTTTCTCGACTGTATTTATGACCCCGGCCATATTGTCAGTGATGAATATTCGAAAGCTACTTCCAACGCATTTCTTAGCCGATTGATTCATTTTGGTCTGAGATTTCGGCCAAGAACTATCTCTTATTCAGAGGTTTCCACCGAGAACTAAACCCGTTCTACAGTCTCCTCGCTGATCGAGAAAAGACTTAGTTTAGTTCCTCGAGGTTACCCTGTAATTTTCTTTCTAGTGTTTTGTATGTAATTGTGTTTTTTGTTAATAAATTTTATCGTTGAGTGCGCTAAATAATAATATAATTCACTTATCACCAGTCCCGACAACACTTATATTAAGCAGGGTTTTTTGCATAATATAATTGTTATTTTCAGCTATCCATTTTGATTTTCAATTTTATTGGTTCTTTCAGGGATTTCAAATCATTTTATACCATACTAGTTGTTGTCCGCGGGTTCGCCCGTGGAGTTTGGTTTGTCATTTCAAGTTTCGTGACAGCCATTTTAAAGAAATAGTTACAATATTTTTTTGTCAATCCAATATTTCAGGTTTCCAACTTTAAAACTGACGAAATTCAATACAATATGTGAACCCCTATTTATCCTCCTTGGGGGGTGGAAATTCCTGATCCCCTTTCTTGATGCTCATTTACGCTTTACAAAGTACCTACCTGTCTATTTCAAGATTCTAGGTTCAGTAGCTTCGGCTATACGTTAATATAAGAGCGGGCAACGCTATTTAAAAATACAGTTACTAAACAAATATGCCAACTGCACTAAGTAATGAATACCAATACAACCATCAACGAAGTCTGCCCGCGTTCGGGTCGCGTTCTCGGCGATGGCGCTTCATTGCTTAGACCGCCCCTCTACCCTCGCGCATCGTCCTCAGACGTCTCACAGTAGACACAACGCGTAATGGCTTACTGCGTTGCGTCAAGTTAATCTTATCGTGATAACTTTTAAACGATTCGTCCAAATTACTTACTGTAAAAAACAAAGTTTATCTATATTAAATGCTTGAAACGAGAATTGTATCAAGTTTTTTAAGAATTTCACAGATATTCTAAAATGTGCATGGCATAAGAAGTATCTAGGTATATGCTATCGCGGACTTTCATTTAGAACTAAGTATTTGAGATAATCAATCTTACGGGTACATTATCTGCATGTAAGTTCTACAATATGGGCAGCGCACACCAGAATAGTTCTCAGGGAGCAAGAATTTTTCCGACTTACTTAATACTTCATTAATACTTCATTATATTACGGCCAACATAACACAAAACGTTTGTAAATTGTAGCCTATATGTTATTCTGATGTATGAGCTGTATTTATGTAAAGTTTCATCTAAATCCGTTCAGTCGTTTAGGCGTGAAAGAGCCACAAGCTACAAACATACATACATACATACATACACCCTCACAAACTTTCGCATTTATATTAGTATATAGAATATAGATAAATTTATTTTATATCATATCAATGGAGGTCCGAAGTAATGAAATTCACCGTGAAACATTGTCAACAACCTTCAAACAAACAATTCTACTCTACTCTAATAAGTTTTTATTATATAAACAAATGAAATATTAGAAAAAATAATTATTAGATCATCAGGTTTGCAAAAAATTCAATTATCCCATAATCAATGCAATTAATGTTTATAAACAATTTTTCAATGAGGATGGAAAATTCAAAAAAAAATCATATTGATGCAGTTTTTATCGATGAGAAAACAAATCAAATGGAATATTTTTATATCTATGATTGTTCACAAATAAATGAAAAATTGAAATTTTTCAATTTTTCCAGCTACATTGATTTCTAATGTCTTCAAAAAATAGCTCCAAAAAATTTTAAAAAATTATAGAAGTTTTCATACAAACCTTCAACTTGGATAAAATTGTTGATTACCAAAGGCATAATTGAAAGGAAAACTGCAAACATTTCTTTTCTTTGATTGGCATTAAATGTCAATTATAGTGACATCATCGATTTCTCAATACCTAAGCATTATGTTCGTTATATTCTATGTAATAAAAAACATAAAGAACAACAAAAATGTCAGTAGATGAAATTTCATAATAGTAATGAATGTCCTGAACATTTACAGTTATATGCGAACAATTTTTCAACAATACTACCCTGGTTTGATAATAATCCATTTTGTCCTTTGTAATCATAGAATAGTTTTATTTGTTTGTGAAGTACTGTTACTATTTATTTGTGAAGTACGTTTTAGATCCGAAAAAAGTTAAATATAACCTTCGGCTATTATTGATGATCTCCAACCTCCCTGACTTTTTAAGGTGGTTATATCTGACCCAAAATCCTCAAATACTGAAGCAGGACTTCGAGGAAAACAATGCCCAGTAAATTCTTGTGGGTTTCGTACTTTCAATAACGTTTCCATTTTTTATGGCATTTTTTTCAAATTTATGGATACCAAGTCTCACTTGCGAACTAGACTATAAACTAGCTCACTTTTCCACTGAGAGCTTTCGTCTAGTCTCAAAATAATATTCACCTACGTAAAATAATACGATATGATGGTAAAACATCGCATGCAACTTCCTTCAAACGAAAAATCAATGAACGTCATGACATGGTTATACTGAAGGAATCCCTAGAAGCGGTGGAAACGAGAACAATGATCAAGTACATTCTATACCTCCATGAAGGTTTCGTTTAAAGTTCGGCTTGGATCATATGGATCGTTCGAGAATCCTAGAATTTGTATGATACAGGGTTGGACGAATTTATTAGAACCAAGGAGTCCACACAATGGCGAATGATTATTTGATTTCGACTGTCCAGGATTTTTATGCTCTGAACTTTCATTTGATTTTTTTAACCAAGAATGACAATACTGAGAAATTTCAGCAATTACGAACCCGCAAAACAGAAAAAAATCGATAGTATTGCAAAATGAGAAAATAATTTTTTTGGTAACGATAACGGAGTGAGAAAAAGTATTTAAACAACAGAAAAAAAACGAAAGACAACTTTCAACCAGAAATTTTCAAGTTAATCTCAAGGACAACTTTAAATGGTATAAATATGTAGTCAGGTATAGAAGTAGCAAAACCATTAAGTGTCAAATAAAGGTTCAAATGTTCATTCATAAAATGAGAGGCGACGGGAACTCACTCTGAAAAACATCATTAAGAGAAACCCACTCCAAGATATCTAATGATCCAAATCTAGTTGACCATCTGGTTATGAACTCCATTTTAAAGTTCAACTAAAAAACAACTTTGAATGGTAAAAATATGTAGTTAGGTCTAGAATTCACAAAATCCTTAGGTATCAAATGAAGGTTAAAATGCGTATGAGAGGCGATGAGAACTCACTCTAAAAAACACCATTAAGAGGAACCCACTCCATGAACCCTAATGATCTAAATCTAGTTGACCATTTGGTCGTGAACTTCATTCACAAATTCAACTGAAAAATAACTTTGAATGGTATAAATATGTAGTTAAGTCTAAAATTAACAAAATCCTTCGGCGTCAAATGAAGGTAAAAACGCGTATGAGAGACGGGGGGGGGGGGGAATCCACTCTAAAAACTACCTTGAAGAAGGAACCCACTCTAAGAAACATCCTTCTACTACCACGTCGTTGATTCTTGGTTATGATGAAAGTGATATTGAGGATTAGTATGTGGATCATCCTGTGGTAAGTTGCTCATTTATGTTGATGAGGGTTGAGGGTGATTAGAATAGTTATTGATAATTGTGTTTGCTTGTATTGTTTTTTATAAATTAAATATTGTGAATTTCGTAAAATAATATTCATTATTACTGTTAATAATTTTTGTCAAGTAATCGGTCAATATATTCATAACTCCACCCTAGACCTAGATATAGATTTGAACGTAACAGTTTACCCTTTTGGCGATTTTCATAATAAAATAGGTTTTTGAAAAAAATGACCTTGAAAATGGGAATCGAGATCGAATTCAACTGAATCTTCAGATCCTTCCTGAGGCTTAATTTTTTGCTTCCATCACTATACTCATGGGATTTCTATAATAGGGGAGTCCAAGCGGGGATTTCGGAATTTACTAAAGCACGGCAGATTAATATACAGGTGGATACCTTGTATCCGGTCAAGTACCTCCACCAAATATGAGCCCCATATCTAAGGCCGCCCGTGAAGGATGAAGGATCAGATTAGTTAAAAAAAATTGATCACCTGAAATTTTCGAGCGCGTCAGATTAAGGAAGGGTGAGTTAATTACCTGCTAAAAAGTGTATATTCCAGTAATCTGACAATTTGAGAGTGGCGTAAAGAAAGGAGAGGGCAGCAAAATTGTAAAAAAATAACGTCATTTCGACATTCTCGAGCGTAGCTGAGAATGATTTTTGTTATTTTGAAGGAAATAATTCAAGGATAACAAAAAATATATAATCTGATGATTTCCGCAAGCCGAAATAACAAAAATTCGTCGATACAGTTTAATGCGTGTAGCTGTGTGATACCTATATTTCCCTCTCCGAGTTTCTATTCCTCTTTCACTTTTTCTCTATCTATTAATCTCTCCCTCCGTCTCCACTCTGAATTCTGTTGCCATGACGCCATCACAGAGATTCGTTCTTGATGAAGATGATGAATAATTATTCAATTGATTATAAAAAAATTAATTTTTTCAAAAATTATTCTCTTATGAATACAAGTATTCAACTTAAAAAACATTTGCTTGCTATTTTCTGAGCTTTTAAATTATTTATGTTCAATGATTTGAAAAAAATTGAAAAAAAAGATATTTTTTTTGTCAAATTAGGCGAATCTCTCTAGATAATCGTCAGATTATGAGGCAGCACGCCTAGAATATAAAGATGAACGATATATATCTTAATCTGACGCGCTTGAGTATTCCAAAATGGCGAATTTTTTTCGCACATTATAGTAATGGCCACGAGTTTGCGTCAGCTTGAAATCGTCAGATTATTGAATGAGAGCTTTTTTTTGTTGCACTAAACACTTCCTTAGAAAATCTGACGCGCTTGATTATTTTTTTTTAGTCACTTTCAACTCTTACATACAACCACCCGCATCATGCAAACGATCAGATTAACATACGAACATTATTGAAAATACGTAGGACATTGATGCTATCAATATCTGACGCGCTCGAGTATCCATACAACAGTATTTCTTTACATATTTAAAAATCTATAGCCGCTTCCCCCACCGATGAAAAGTATATATTATATAACATTTTTTTCTTCTTATCATCTAAGCTTTGCAATCTAATATGTCTTTATGACGCTCGAGTAAATCCCCATTTTGCATCGTTGGCTCCCATATTACTAGATAGATGTTCTTTTACCTACTCTTTCCTCCGTATATTTTTTGTTTATCATGAAATTTTATATACGAGATCAAAATTGCGTTTAGAAAAACTTCTCATAACAGTTATCCTATATTTTGAAAAATTACCTATTACCTACTCAAATGCCCTACCACTTTTTAAGCAGTGGAGACGGGAGTGGATATAAAGAAAGAAGAAAGGTGTAAATTAATTTGCGAATCTTTTATTGATGCAAGTTATGGAAAAGAGAGCGTCGCTAAAATATGAAGAAATTATTTAGACAATTAGAAAATTATTTTTTCACAATAATAGAAGGTGAAAAAAATTGTCAGTTCTAACTTCCGTAACCAATCTACAAAAGTTGATTTAACCACAAGAAAAATAAATGATATTGAAATGAAGGAATACTTTAAAACATTCTTTCAAATCCGCAAAATCGCAATGTTCTTCCTGTGTCTGGTCCAAAACCAAAAGAGAAGGAAGTTTTCTTTCTGAAGTCTCGAAATGTCGTATGACATGAGTTGTCATAAATGACAAATGGATTATTTGGAAAAAAAACGATATCTCATACATAAACTGTGAATATGCTGATTGCAGCAAAGATAGGAAGACTCGTTTCATATTCCTGGCATATACAGGGTCATGCTAAATCATATAACGAAATGAAATGTTTTTGCTTATATTGTAAATAAACTGTCTGGAATTTCATAGACGTTTGTTTCCTTTCTTCATTATGATATCTACTGGAGCTTTACCGAATATTATGATAGTGATTTTGAAACCGTAACGTACCGCAATTTTGGATGTTTTGTAAAAAAAATTGACAGAAAATGTGAATTATGTACTCATTGCTGTGGTAATTTTTCATTTTATTCGAAGCAAATACAGATGCCAGAAAAAATCCAATATGATGCACTGATCACACTGTATATGAACTGCAGAATCAAAGCACTGTCGTTGAGCGATCTGAACATTTTTCCTTACCTGTACTCTGGACTCTGGTAAGTTGATTTTCAAGGCCACTTCTTCTCTCATGAATATATCAGGATATCTGGTTTTGCCAAAAAGCGACTCCAAAATATCAAGCTGAGCTCTAGTGAATGTCGTTCTTTCTCTCCTCTGTTTTCTTGGGTTTCCTTAAAACAAAAATTTCATCAGACTATATTACAGTGAGATTGTTAAAGTGAATATGACTTTCAAACAAGAAAATAAACTTCTTCACATGAACACACTAAAAACTAAAGTTTTGCCGTCACGAGCAAATTCAAATATGATGAGATAGTAACCACTGACGTACGTCCTTGGTAGTAACAACAATAATATATCTAGGAGTTCAATCAGATAACTTTGTATACTTCGTTAGTAATTTCAATTATATAGAAAAAAGGATTTCAAAAAAATTATACTTATTCTCCAGAATTGCTAACAATTTGTTAAAAGATACATACCTATGTATCTATTTATAAATCAGTTTGTCACACTTTGAGTATTGTGATTGTCTTCTCTCCATTTGAATAAAATGTCGCAGTAACAAAAACTTCAGAATATGGAATGAAATTAATTTTGCAATGAATGTTATTTACACTACAGAGCCTTTCCATATCCCAGAGATATGTGATATGTTCAACAGATTATTGATCATTAGGGTTTTGCTGTGATATGAACTTTTTTGAACAGGAGAGATGTCAGGCTTCGTAGGGTGGGAGTCATTGCATTACTCACAGGAGTTATTCACCTGATTTATGTTCATTTGTAATCAATAAAAAATATTGAAGAACTTCACTTTTCTCACTACTAGACGAATATTCATCAAAAATGTGTTTTTAATTTGACTGCAACAAAATTTACTGTGAAAATGTTTTCAATTGCAAATTGATATAACCATAGAAAGTGCTATTAAAGGATTAGCGAAATTTATATTCATGACAATGATCGAATTCAACATTTCATCGAATTTATCAGAATGAACCGCCATGATATAAATTTAAATCTGAATCAGTTTTCGATTTGTAAATAGGCGATAAATATTTGAACTGTGCCCTGATGAATTTCAAATAAATACTTTGTATGTTGCCAAAAATTGAATGAAATTCATGAAGTGAGCAGTTTTTTACACAAATACCATTTTGTTGAAAAATATATTTCATGAATTTTGATAATAATGGTGTTATTCATCCAACGAATCAAATTATCAATGAACATTTTGTCAATTAAGTCCACTAAATAAAAAAAGAGAATTGAAACTTATACATTAAACTTTAATCTATAATTAGATAAATAGATAGATTTTCATTGATCCTTTTTGCTACATAATGTGTAGGTGGGATAAGTCATAATTGTAGTTAAGTTATAAACATGCATGCATATAAACATACAAAGGTATAAACAAACATATAAATAAAATTGTAGGTCTAGATAGAATGCAGGTAAACTAGGTTTCACAATAAAAATAATTTTGTCCAGGTATCATATAAAATCCTATGTAATAATATCAATATGAATCACCAGCTTGCTTAGAAACAATAAACAAGGAGAGGTAACAAGGACATTTTGAAATAAAGTTTTCAAAAGAAATATGATCGCTCATTGCTTACTTCAAGTGTAAATTCGTCTACTATGTAAAAACCCTTTTCTGATAAATAACATTAAAATTTTTTTTTTGAAGATATGAGGAGACAGTCTTTATATCGTTTGGCAGTAAATATAAGTTTGAAAATGTCTTTATAGGACGAAACTGCAGTAACGTTAGTTACAAATAAAAGTGGTAAAAACAGAAAGTTTCAATTCTCTTTTCCTCATTATGATCTCCTACCACCTAGTAACGGCTACATCCATCAATTTATTGAAAGTCCACTGAACATTACGAGGGTACGACAATGGTGAATCCAAAGTCACCCTTCATGAGCGAGTCAAAGAGTATTATCATTACAGCAACTCTCTCGATCAGTACGCACCAGTCTTCCATACTGAAGTGTACGCAATCTTGATATTTGCAAGTAATATTAGTTTAAGGCCCTAACGAAATGAATAAATCATTATTTTCACAGACAGGCACGCTGCACTTGAGACACTCATGCACCCAAAAATGACATCTGGTAATTCCATGAAAATCAGGAAGAGATTACCTCACTCAGGAATCACTATCATTGAAGAAGCTGATGATTTGGCTGGACACGAATTATATTATCAACTGTATATTAAAGACCTGAATCAGATGTAGGGGAGCCAGAACCTTTGTTACGGGACAACACCAGGAAACGGGTCAATGAGATCAGTGAATACACAGGAAATCTTTATGAAGGAGCTGTCCTAGAAGATAAATGGAGAACTGTTTTCTGGTGATTTGGAGAGAATGGAAAAATTAAGTGGCTCCAAAACAATAGTAACAAACATTAATGGTAAACACAATGTAAAATATGAATCCTCACAAACTAAATGAGATAACCATGATATGTCTGATACAAACGGAATCGATCATAGAAATAATAACCAAAAGGACCAAGACAGAGGGTGAGGTGAAGAGATACATCTGTGAGGTCAAATATCTGGGAGTGATACTAGAACCCAGGTTGATCTGAAAGCAACACCTAGAAAGAGTAAAAAAATGTAGAAGAAGTTCTTATGGTGGCCAGACGTGGGGGCTGAAACCAGAATGATTTACTGGTTTCACACCATGGTGGCTAAATCCATGATAACTTATGTATCAATGGTATGGTGATGGAGCAAACGACCACTATTAAAGAACCAAGCCGATTGAAAAGCCTTGTTTGTTTTGGGTTGATGGGAGCAACGAAAATCACACCTACAGCTGCATTGAAGAGGCTTTTAAATCCTCTCCTTCACACTTCGTAATAATGAAAGGTGCAAAGAGATCCAATTCAGACTAGATATTTCATTGAGTTTGAAGGAATCGAGATAACCGTGATTTTGGAACATGAAGAGTGAGTAACATCTAAAATGTTCTTGGATCACATGACTACAGAAAATATGTTCGATACAAACTCCACGGTTGGAGTCATGAACAGCTAAAAGAGGGAAATAGATTGGGTCTATAAAAACAGACAAAATATCTCAATAAAACGAGGACTTTGGCTGCATAAAATATTACAAAAATGCATAAACAACTAGTTATAATTCATTTGAATGTGAAACACTGGATCACAGTAGGTACAACACAACCTTCATTATGTCCGGAAGAATATGACTAATATCTAACGAGGGACCTTCAAAAATTACTACAAGGAACCAGATTTCAATATTTTCGGACTGAGTATTGACATAAGTTGAGGTTATGGGGATTATACAAACAACCGTAAACCTAGCGCGAAGCTAGACTTTGGAGGAAACACTCATCAAAAGAAAACAGAAATCGTTAAACCAAACATAGTTTCGCCTATGTGGGATTCAAAGTAGCAATTGCACTTCGCCTGAATCTTCCACCATAGCTCAATTATATGATGAAAATAATCTTAAGATTTCGCCCAATAGTTTTTCTTGTCAATGGAGTTTATGTCTGAATTGATTGAGACCACTGAATCTCTATTAACTCAGCAAAATTCACGAAAAGCGCGTATTAGTCAAGGCCACTTTTCGTGACTTGCTTCTTTCTCCAAACAATTTGTCTTGTTTCAAGAAATTACATTCTTTTCAACTTTTAATATCTTCAATCTGAATCTGTTTTTATCCTAAATGTATTCATGAACCATTTCTAGGTGGAGGGAGAGTTCGAAAGACCGAACGTGAGCCGAAGATATTCATAGTGTTGTAAAAGTTGTGAAAACCAACTCTCACACTTGAACACATCCTCTTTTGACCACTATTCAATTAATTTTTTTGGCTATTGCGCTAGAAACCTCGGAAATATCACGGAACATTGATTTCTCCACAAAAATTATGTATTTCAATTCGAATGTTTTTATTACCTCCAGGATAACCTCCCATGGAGGAATGCAAGGAGTCCACCGGGATACCGTGAAGTCCTAGGCCTGGGACGGGATAAGGAGCTGACTTCAAATAAGCCATACTTGATGTACTTCCGCCGCAGCCGCTTCCAAATCCCGGAAATGAGAGTTCGCTGTCGGGGTTGCATCTGAAACAAAGCTCAAGCTCAAATATGACACTTCTGAAATGCGCATCGAGACTAAATAAATGATCGGGGTGTTCAACAACAAAAAAATATTTTTTGAATGTTTCCTACACTAAATTAGTCAATTTCTACTAATTTTGGGGTGATAAAAACGAAAATAACAATGAAAAATTTTTATTAGCTCTGGTTTTTGAGATACATAGTACTTAATCTTAAAGAGTAGTTATACTATACGTGAAAAGTGAAAGTACATAAAACAATATTGTTATGTTTCTTTTAGAA